GAAATTGTCAAAGTCTGAATGGAAGACTGATGGCTCCACGGGATGGCGGACTACTTGTCTAGATAGAATACTGGAAGTCTGCTGTAGCGCTTGTGCAATGGCAGTTTCAAGCTCAAGTGAAAATGAATAGCTTTCTGAATGACCAAGGCGATTCATGAGTGTGATCAATTGAGCACTGCGAAAGAGATGTCTCAGAGTCATGCATACCAGAATATGCTTGGACATTTTCCACTTTCCATTTGTGGCTGCCCTACATATATCTTGCCCAAGAGATCTGACAAGTCTAGTCACTCTTTGTGATGGGCAAGATGGATTTCCACTCAACAAATGGTTCAGAAACTTCTCTAGCTCAGTGGGAATGTGGTCATCTATACCGGCAAGGGCTTCTGCGGTTGAGGGCCAGGGAATATCTTTAGACTCTTCAAATGCACTGGTAATTATTCTGCGGAGGAAAAGCGCTACATCAGTAATTGCATCAACAGAATGAAGCTCATGTGTACTTTGTATTGCCTTGTCTAGACTCATTCCAGTACTATACACCAAAAAGCTTTCGAACTTTCCCTTAGCGCTTACTTTACAAAAGGATAGTTTACCCTTATATACTTCATGCTTCTCAAACTTACTTTTCAGCTTACCTGCTCTGTACTTAGGGTTAGCAAATGGAGTGTCCTTTAGTTCATCTTTGTACTTCTCACATAGGTCACTCAGTCTCAAAACCTTACACCTACCCAATATTTCATCATCTACAAATGTACATATGCTAGCAAATGCCTTCTTGTGGGCTTCTGCCATTGTTCTCTGTTTAGCTACTTTATCGTACTTGCTACTTCTCCATTTATCTGGTTCTTGGTTTGCCACATATTTCTTCCGACAGCTCTTGTGGTATCTTGCTTCTGCAGCAAACAGATCAACTCCCCGGATTCTCAGAAGTAGGTCTTCATCACCAACTCTCTCCGCAACATCTACAACATTTTGCCACCCACCAAAATCAAACATTGATGTACTTTCTGTTGTCCAAGAGCTTTTCACTTTGATTGATTTCAGGCCTTCTTTTTTTACAAAAGATACAATCAGGTTTGAAGATGACTTTATCAAGTGACGATCTGGGTGGACGGGAAGTTGAAGGTTTTGTGGCATCAAATGAGGTCTCTGACAGGCGATTGAGATTCTTGGTAAAAAGTTGGTAGCAATCCCGATGATAACCGTGCACATCTGAAATGTCTTCAGGAATGAGGTTGCATGCTTCTTCCATTCTAAATGGAGAGTCAGGAGGTTGGGAAAGTCGTCGATCCCGAATGCTTCTCAACATGTTCATGCGTTCATTTGGATCATTGCTGTTACACAAGTTCGTGAAGGGTCCATGTTTTGCACCTGGACAGTGAATGATACAGACCTGCTGCCTCTGTTTCGAACTCTCAACAGAATCTGTGCACTTCCTTTTTGTCCCTCTCTGTCGATTGGCATCCATGATGTTGATGTCAGTCAGCTGTATTCGGATAAAATATATAGAGGAACAAAATTATTCATCAGAAATAGAGTAGAGAGTTAAAAGGGGAAATGAATGATAACGGGATGTGGAAATAGGTAAAAGAACTACAGAAAAATTAGAAAATTTCTAATTTATTTGTTTATTTCTCCAGACACTTTTTATATCTATCTCTACCTGTTTTTTTGAATGGCATATCGATATGCAGTTATCTTTACAGACTTATGAAAAATTTGTTATTATTATAATAAAAACAAAAATATTTTACACTGACGTGAAGTTTAAGCCCAGATTTTAGCTTTTAAAGAATATGCAATGTTGGAGAGAAAATCGTGAGTACTTACGATCAATTACGATGCATTGTGACCAACGTCACTTTAAGGACCAGAAAGGATCCAAAATGACTTAGTTCTCCAAATGAAATTACCTAAAGAGCAATCATACAGAGAAACAAAATTAAAAAACAACTGGCCTCATTTCTTAATTAATTTCTGTAATATGTTGGCCTGAATTCATAGAGGCTTAAATTTAGCCCATGGTTTAACTCTCATTTCTCTAAAAATTAAAGCAAATTAAGCGTACCTTGCCTTGCGCGCGGCTAAAATTGGACCTCTGACTGTGTCGCGTTTAATTTGCACTAATTTTAGACCATGGGTAATGTAAATGAAGATTTTAACAATGGGTTAAATTTACACCTCCTTTGTGAATTCGGGCCATTGACTGTATGATGTTACCATTTATCCAAATTTCATTTAAACTAATTTAATGCGTCAATGGTTCAGACTGTAAGACACGTAATATGTTATCACAACACACATTCAATAGTATGCAGAATAGTAATTTGATTGAATCACCACCTCCGTGCATGTTCATTATGTTAAGCTGAAATAAATTATGTGTTGTATATTTACAAATACAAAGAAATAAATTAAAATACTTACTTTCAGTGTTAAACGTATGTAAAAAGTCCATCTCAGAATTAATTTCTGCCGCTGTGGCTGTAGTATATGCACCCATAGTTGGGGGCTGAGGAGGGTAAATAACGTTCTATGTTTCTTCTGATGAGGAGGATGGATAAAATAGCCTTCTGTTTCCACTGAAGAGTCATTCATGTAACATTGTTCTTGGTAATGTCCGTCAACACTCTCCCTTATCTGGCTGACCCTCCATCTTGCTCTCTCTATCCCTCCCGTCTCTATTTCTCTCTCTCTCTCTCTAAGTCCCTTGACCCTTTTCTTTTTCCATTTTTCCCCGATCCTATCTCTCTTCCTCTAAACTTTTCCTTATTTTTATCATTTATTTGACTGTTCTAATCAATCAGCATTAGTTTTCCTTGTTTGACCATTGTATATATATATATATATATATATAGCAGGGTGTGAAAATACTAATTCTATGAGTGTGACTCTATCACTGAATAAATATTCATTTATTTATTGAAACATATTTTAACAGGACATGATCACTATAAACTGTTTTACATCAGGGGCCTGTAAATAAAAAATTGCACAGTAATGAAAACATAAACATAAATAATATATACATGGACAAACAAAATGAAATGTATAGACCAAACAGTCGACTAACATGAATATGGATCTTATCCATGCAAATATAATGAACATAGTTCAGCTTTCAAGACAAATATAAAGGCATAATAGGAAAATAGTGGCTAAATCTCAATGTATAATATATATCCAATAGGGCATTGTGAGGAAAAAATGTCAACATGACGTGCAAGATAACTGAAATAAAACTATTGACGAACATTTCTAAAGATATTTTTTTGCAGGAAACATGTATAGGGGAGATATAAATACACAATATTATACACATTTTAGGGGTTACAATGATTTATTAATGACATAACCGAAAAAATACAACTTTCAGGTAATTTTGACAGATTTTGAGATGAAAATTTGCATATTTAATTATATGCAAATGTATGACGTCATTAATAATAGAAGACTATAAAACATATTAAAATAATTTTGTCTACCCATTGTTGTATGATTTATGAAGATTGTGTATTAATTTGGTGGAGATTAGAGTTATATCTGCTGAGAAACAGGGTAAAATGTAAGCACATAATTCACAAACCCTAAGAAAGTGTGCAAAACACGAAAAACTGACATTTTTACATATCTTCAAATAAGGAGCAAAAAAACAGTGTCCAAATGAGTTTTTTTCTTGGGAACGTCTTTTTTCTGATATTATGGATCCCAATGAACAAGATGACACCCAAGAAGTAGGATCATAGGGGGGGGGGGGGGGTGCACGGTAGCCCCCTCTGGCCCACGGACTATATGGGGTGGGTGAAAATTTAAAAGTCAATCGGACATGAGGGTTCCAAAGAAAGAGCTAGTGTCAACGTACGTCGGGGTGGATGTGATTAACGTTTAAATCAAAACAGATTTATTTTTTAATTAATTTTCTCTAAAAAAAAAAAAGTTTTTAACGGGGTTTTTTTTTTCTCGTAAAAGTCCATAGGCTAACATGTTAGGCTGCTGAACTCTGACGATAGGGGGCGTTGTCCAATGAGACTAATCGGAGCTATATGATGGTTGTTTGCATTTATGGCACTTCTATGGCGGGCGGAACTTGCCATATTCATGACAACAATACAACTATAACTATACATCAATTCGATGGATGTATAGTTTTTAACCAATCAGAACGCAGGAAACTGTACGACTATACAACTATACGACTATGCATCCATCGAACGCATGTATAGTTTCCAGCGTTCGGTCCAAAGTGCCATAATTATACAACCATACGACTATTCGACTATACAGTCAGGGGTTTCTCTTTGCTCGTGCAAAGAGAAACCACTGATCAGGGGTTTTAACTAGTGCATGTGCAGTAGTTTCTCTCTGCTTGTACTCCGGAAAACCACTGATCAGGGGTTTTAACTACTGCCTGGCTGTATAGTTGTATAGTCGTATGGTTGTATTTTTGTATAGTTATGTCACTCCGGCCCGCACGCTGGAAACTATAAATGCGTTCGATGGATGCATAGCCGTATAGTCGTATAGATGTATAGTCGTATATTTTCCTGCGTTCTGATTGGTTAAAAAAAACTATACATACATCGAATGGATGTATAGTTGTATAGTTATCATGAATATGGCACGTTCCGCCCGCCATACACTTCAATACATCCATACAACCATAGCTCACTTGATGTATGGTTGTCATGTTTATGGCACGTTCCGCCCGCCATAGACATACGATTCGCGCCTGTCCGTCTTTCATTGTGCCCCCCCCCCCCCGACCTTTCCAAAACTCCCTGATCCGCACCCGCGGCTGCCTACTATATGCTGAAAAATTATGTATCATGGAAAGCTACTATTAATGGAGGAAGCTTGTCAAGTGCGCCAAACCTTGAAGTGTTCTTTGTTCCATTGTTTGCTCCATACATTGTGTGAAATATTTTCAATTGATACTTCATCGTACATAGCACCTACGCCGGCGCGCTGAACATAATTATATATCCACGCAAATCCGTTAACATTAGTTGCTCTGTGAACATGTTGCTCAACATGGCGGTTAAAATAGCACTAGCTGTGGGATTATTTATCGTGTTCTGTGTGTTACCTGGTAAGTGATAGCGAAGCTTTATTCTTCAAGGTTTGCTTGAAATCAATTTTAGAAATAAATTATATATACAACTTTATTGCTAATTGAATAATTCGTTCCGTTGAAATGTTGAAAAACAAGGCCAAAGACAAAACTGAAATATTGCTATGCACTCTACGCTTTGAAATTCAGCAAACCTGGAAGTAGCAAACACTGTAAGTAGGGGGGGGGGGGGGGACAAACCCGGCAGTGAAAGATACCAACATTCCCAAGAGGCCGACAAGGTCGGTCTTGCGAACCTTCTAAAAATGTAATTGTCAGAAAGCCCACGGAACCGACCATGACCAACACGTCTGTCTCACGGATCTTCTGACAATGAAGTATTCAGAAAGTTCACATTTCGAGTGTTGCTTGGCTAAATTTGCAGTGTGCATGGATGTGGCTGTCTTTCAAAACATGTTCTATTTTTGTTATTTTTAATCCACTTTTTGTTGTGTAAATGTTGTAAAATATTGTTTTGATACTTATCATTCATTTAGATATAATTTTTTTATTTTCTATTCATTTTCATTTTCATTTTTTTTTTATTCAATAGCTCAATGCTGAGTTTCCCGTCGCCCACCAACATTATGATTTTCCGCCCGCGTTTGCGATCGAAATTCTGAAATAATTCATTATTTTAATCACACTTTCAAGTTTATTCTTTTGAAAAGAATGATATTATAAAACATAGTATCGCTTCCGGCATTTCCTTAATCCCATGTCGTTTACTACTGTACGGTGTATACGCAAGCAGTAAGTCATTACAACACATGGTATGATCTGACGGTATTTTTAAAGTGGAAATTCAAAGAAAATCACAAATAATGTCAACTAATGTATCACTAGAAACTGGTAAGCTAACAGATGGCCATCGTACAAGTTTTAGGTCAACTACATATCGGGTGATTTATAAAAATAAAAATAGAACCACCTCTGTAGCATCTGGGAGTTACGAGAGAATCGCCAGAAAAAAAACGATGTTTTAATGACGTCACATAATGGACTTATACTGCCCAAGCAGACGACGTCCCATAAAGAATGAACATAATTGCAAAGCTATTATTTCTCAAATTATAATGAGTTAAGTGTATATAAATGTGATGGCATTTCAAACCATTCAAAAGGGGATATGAAACCGATTCTGATAACAAAAATATTTTGTTTGTAAATACAAAGGATAAGGGTTAATTAACAATCATGAAACCAGACTTTCAAATTGAAAACCCCCGGAATGATATTAAGGACGGCATGTGTATAGCGCGATGTGTGCAGCTGAATATACAATGGCGTCTTATTTTGTTAACAAGCGACAGATTCCTTTATTTTTGTATCGCTGCCTTAGTCATCAAAATAAAACCATGCGCGGGGTTGAGAGTGAGGCAATAGATTATACATTTAGCCTGACGGTAGTGAAGTAAGAGAAAAAACTCGAGAGAAGATGAAAAACAGGCACTGGAAATGTGTGAGATGTCATGGGACATCGTCTGCTTGTGCAAATCATGTTCATCCTGTGATCTGACACATCTCAGCAGCATTCGGGGAGCTCTTCAGGTGCTATGCCGGGGCTGTATTTAAACGTTTTGTAATTTATAATAATCATTACTTCGAATGTTACCAGGCATTGAATTTTGATAACATTGTCGAATCAAAGTTTCCGCTTTGCAATAATGAAAATAAAGTTAGTTTTAAAAATCATGAATATCTACTTTAGCTCATTCGTGACAATTCCCTACCACATTGTGTTGTTTGTCGTGTTTATATTAAAACTAGGACGTCATGTGACCTCAAAGTTTGCCAGACTCTGCAGATAAAAATCAGAGCACTCTTTACTTCGTCGTGTAAAAAATCTTACCCCGAGTTATGAATTTAAAAATGTTAGTCAAAAAGCTGGACGAGCCTACATGTATATTCATATCTTTTGAAACTTTTCAAAAATGATAAGCAAAACACATGGAAGGTAAACAAACAAGCAATGAACCTAGTTAATAATAAATCTGAGGTAAATTAAAAAAAAATTGATAATGAGATTGTTGTAGACCCTAAAGATATAGTTAATATTGTTTATACTTATTTTTTCTTTGATAAGTGATAGTCTTGCTAAAAACCTTTCGCCTTCTTATACAAACGTTGTGGAGTTTTTTTTCGCCCTAACAATCCAAAGTCTCTTTTTATTGTTCCAACTAATAGGCAAGGAATTATGAAGATTGGATATAATGGAATTAATAATATCATACTAAAATACATTATTCCCTTTACTGTAGATCCTCTGGTTCACATCTGTAAGATTGTTCTAGGACAACAACCCCCTATGACAACCATCCTCTAGGACAACTACCCCTCGGACAACTGTCCTAGGGGGTAGTTGTACTGGGGTATTTGTCCAGGGGTAGTTGTCCTAGGGGGTAGTTGACTGGGGGTGGTTATATGGGGAGTGGATGTCCAGGGGTAGGTGTCCGGATACGCTTCAACATATCACTTCTACATGTTAAACTTCCTAATTCTATGAAAATAGCCAAAATTATTCCGTTATTAAAAAAGGGTGGTATTAAAACTGGATTTTGGTAACTACCGCCCGATTATTCTTATTATCTGTAATGCCCCTATACGCTCCCATACTGATCCTCTGTTTTTTGAAAATAACATCTTACAATTAAATGTTTAATTACAAAAGTGGTATACTGCCTTTTGTGTTTAATGATATATTTTTTGTTAAACATGCCGTTCATAAATACTCCACTCGAAAATCCGATAAGTTTCAGTTACCTCTTTTGAGAACATGTTCTGCACAGGACACGTTCATTTTTGAAGGCCCTGAATTTTAGAATACTCTGCATAACGATTTGAAAACTTCCCCTTCACTAATTGCTTTAATTTTTTGTTAATCCTTTTTAAATAGTATAATATTCAGAAATTTATCGTGGTAGAACATCTCCTTCCCAATTTTGTCTTTCTTTTTCTGCCCATCTCTAAAATCCGGTCTTGGTCTGTTTGTTTCGGATATCTCAAGGATTTTGTGCGCTCCCTATTTCGTGCTCGATCTCTACTATTTTCCTTTCCTCTCATCACCTTCCTTCCAAAATTAACCCACATTTTATTATTTTTTTTTTTTGTTCTTTCTTCGTCATGTAATTATTTACGTCTTCTTGTTTCCAGTCATTACATGTTTTTATAAATGTTGTCTCTGATGGCCGCTATTCATTTTTGATTGGTTTTGTATTCTATACTCTTTTCATACTCATTATTATCGGAGAGGTCCACAATTTACAAGCTCTGTTTTCAGTGGACCTCGCCATTTCCTCAAAATATAAATGCAATTCAATTTATAATTCAATTTTTGTCTTCCTCAAATGTATAAGTTACTGTTGAGATTTGTTCATTACAAAAATGTAACTATGTTATGTATACATTTTACCTTGTATTCGTTATTATGTATTGCATTTTGTGGGAAATTAAAAAATAAAAATTGAAACGTGAAATAGAGCTAATGTTGCCCGCAAAAACTGCCCAGCATCAAACTAGAACGTGCTCGCGTGCGTTTTTGCCGTATTGCAGGTAGATGGATTCGACATTTCAGCCTTTCGAACACTAAAGTGTCTGTTTAAGTTTTTTGTTTTTTTGTTTTAGTCTTTGAATATAATATTTTTACGAGAATCTGGTGTGGGTTTACGCATTTTGTCGAGCATTGATTTGTAAGTACGTCGCCGATGTGTATATCATTAGAGACTTTACGATTTGCACGTCACACGTAGCAGTCCACTATGTCGATGTGCAACTCTAAAAGTACCTATTGTGAAACGTTGAACTATTCCGTGTCAGCGAATTTGCAGGTATTTCCTTCCCTTTGTTCCTTCTCTTTGTTTCTTGTTTACTTAATATTTTCATTCGTGGCCCGATGATGAAACAGTCTTTTTTCAGACCCTTGCACCGAATGTTCGTTCGTTTTGTGCTGAGAAAAAATTCAATTAGTTTAATTTTGGCTGTTTCAAGAAGTGGTTTATTGATGTAGGCATAATATGTTCATGTGGTGACACGACATTTGCTCCTGCGACAATTGCTCCGGGCTTTATTTCGTCTAAGATGTAGGGTTAGGGTTAGGGTTTCAATAGGGTTTTATCTTAGGTTTAGGGTTAGGTTTAGGGTAGGGTATAGTGTTGAATCCAGGGTTGAAGTTAGCCATTCGATTAGTGTATGAAATTTACAGCGGAGCAATTGTCGCCGGAGCAAATGTCATGGAATCGTTCATGTACCCTTCACAGCTCTTTTTATGTATGTTATTACTGCATAAGAAAGGAAGTAAGTCACTCACTCAACAGTGTCTGACAGTGAGGTCTAGAAAGAATACGGGTTTCTTTGAATAATTTCAATACTAGGACACTGCCACTATGAACATGACAGACAAAGAGAGCGGATAAAATATACAGTTCCTCAGGTAGACAAAGGAACATTCCTTCACTGCTATTGTGTAAAACAGGTGTCACATGCATATTCACCTGTTCTACACATTTTTACATAATAGCAGTGAAGGGATGTTCCTTTGTCTACCTGAGGAACTGTATATTTTGTCCGCTTTCTTTGTCTGTCATGTTCATAGTGTGCTGACGTTTAAATTTCACAGATAGGACGTACGTGAAATATTTATAATTCCTGCAAAGTTCTACAAAATGTGATGGTGGCTGCAAAGGGGATACACTACCTTTACGTTAACAAACTGGAAATACACAAGTTGAACCAACAGTGAAATAGTTGCCTCATCATGAGCTGAAAAAATGTGACGGAAAACTTGCAATCGAGTTTCATTGGCTTACACCGCTGTAAAGCATAAGTACAAGCAAGATATTCTTTACTAGTCAATCGTTGAGTTGTGTTGAAAATGAAGTCCCCTATTGTCAAATGGCAAGTGCACCAAACCTTGAAGTGCTTTTTGTTCCATTGTTCGCTCCATATTTGGTGCGATATGTTTTGAATTCACATTCCATCAC